GTCGAAGTTACGGACACGCTAACCACAACACCACACCAGTCCATATCAAGTAGCGGCCGCTTTATATCTTGTTTGTGATATGATCCTTGAATAACTGAACATATATTTTCTCGGAATTGTTGTGTCATCAAAAATTATTTTTAAGATAGAGTGGGTCATTGTTCTATGAAAGCCTAGAACAGTAAAATAGGAAAATGAAAAAAAAAAAAATAATAAAAGGTTGTAATAACGAAATAAAAAGTCGTTATTACGAAATAAAAAGTCGTAATTACGTCTCAAGAAAGTCGTCATAACGAGATGAAATGTCGTTATTACGACCTAAGAAAACCGTAATAACGAGATAAAAAGTGGTAATAACGAGATAAAAAGTCGTTATTACGAATTAAGAAAGTACACACAATAAATACAATCTTCTTTATTCTTGAACAACAAGCAGTCAATCTTATTGCATGACTATGATAAGCTATAGATTCTTTATCAAAATTGTGAATTCATGACCTGTGGGTTCATGGTTAAGACTCCAGAGTGGGGCTAAGTCACATATTGAAAATACATTACAGCTTTGAAAAATCCTCTTTTCTACTCATGGAAAATAAGCAGGCAAACTTTTTTCGTAATCATAATAAACACTGAACATTCAACCAAAACAGATGAATTTATTGTCCTCAGGAAAATTGTTTGGGCACCAACTGGGGCTAAGCTGATCATATACATGTATTGAAATTGTACTTATAATTTTTTAAAAAAAATCGTTTTTACTCATGGATATCTTGTTGACAAACTGATTGCAGAGTTATACAATAAACATGTCTGCCATTTTCCAAAAAAAAAATCATGGTTCTTTGCCCATGGTTCAAGCTCTAGGGAACGGCTAGGTGATAAATTTAAATACTTTATACATGTACATCTTCGAAAATCTTATTTCAACAATAATAAATCATTATCACCAAGCAGGCAAATCATTTGCATGATTATAATAAGCAGCTAGCTGATCCAGTAGACAAGCCATAGGTTGAGGCTTTAGTCATGTCCGAAGTTCAAGCTCTGGGGTGGAGGGAGGGGGCCAGATGTCAATAAATTTAGAAACTCATGATACATGAAAATACCAATTTTCAAAAGTCTTAAAAACGATTTTTTAATTACGACTTTCTTAAGTCGTAAAAACGAAATTTTTTCTCGTTATTACGATTTTCTTAAGCCGTAATAACGACTTTTGCTCGCAATAACGACTTTTTATCTCGTTATTACGACTTTTTATCTCGTTATTACGACTTAATTATATTTTTTTTTCATGTTTCCAATTTTACCTTTCACTGCCTTCGTGTTCCATGCTTTTGTTAAGTAAAAAATGTATATATTTACCCACATTTAGAAGATTTACTTTTAAAAACGGAGCGAAAACCCCTTATTTGGTAAAATTGTGTTTTTAGTAGGAAGATGTGATAATTTTTTGTCCTTTTCGGTGTGAGCATGCTATTTTAATGTTAATAATTGTGAGGTCGATGCAGATTGTGGCATTTTTACTTTTATCATGTTTTTCCTTTGAAGTTTGCTCTGCTTTAAATCTTCATACTGAGGCCGGGCGGTATCATGCAAGTTAGGAAGTTATTGTATAAAAACTTTCAAGATAAACTAATACCACATATTTATACATGTACATGTGTACGCTAGCATGAAACAAAAGAAAAAAAAGGACAAGAAAAAAAGAAAAAACACATATACAGCAAAGGGAAAATGAAATCCCAAAGCTACAGCTTGTTACTTTAAATGGTATAATTTTTTTGTAGTTGTTGAAAAAAGATATAGATCGATTTGACAAAAAATGATTTTATAAACAACATACGGGGACGTAGCCGGGGAGGGGCGGGGGAATAATTGAGAAAAAAAATTATTATGAAAATATAGCTTGCAAAAACAGAAAAAAAAACAAAAAATACCAAATCTAAAGAAAAAAATTATCGTACTTGTGTATGTTGGGGGGATGATCAACAGTGAAATACTTATATTGGACAAAAGTAAAGGACACCCCCCCCCCCTAAAAAAAATCTACGGATCTGGTATAATTGAAAAAAATCCCACGTTAAGTAAGGTGTAACAGAACGCACGGGCCGTACTAAGCATTAGCTTAGCTTTGCCGCAATCCTCTTGCAATTCCATCAAATACTACTTCAGTTAGCAATATAGTTTTACACTGAATAAGAAAACGGTTACGCCCCTTAGTACATGTAGATTCGTTGATCGGCGGTTTCCAATCCAGAAAATTCAAGTTAAAATTTCGTATATCTACGTTTTCCTGCAAACTGAAATCTATGTTTTCTTACGGTAAATCCGTATACATGAGAGTTAAGTTTTTCACAGTAACTGTGAAATGTCTAGGTCAAGTAATGTGGACTCTCGCTATAATAAATAATGATCCATCTTGTCACTCTGCATTGCGCAAGTAAATTGATAAGGGGGCGAAAGACAGTTTGTCGGTGTGGGTGGAATTAAATCAAAAAAGTCTTTTGACCAAATGATATTGACATTTGAACACGATACAAGTTTCCTTATTCAACAATTATTTTGGGTATCACGTGATATTTTGATGGATGTGAAGTCGTTCGCTAGTGCAAACTCGTCACCACCTATCAGAATATCTCGTGATATCAAAAGTAATTATGTATTAATTTTATCTTAAACTTTTAAGAAAATTGTGTTATAATTGAGATTTGATTTGTATTTCTTATTTGAGGAAAGATAAGCATTTCGCACGCCTTGTTCGCCCATATTCTTTACTACAGTATCTTCAGTTAAGTGTTTGCAAATGTAAGGGAAAATACATAATAACACGTGTAACTTATTAAAATAATTGCGACATTTTATTTTTTTTCTATAAATTTGATTTAAACCATTTTTTGAAAATATTAAATAATCTATCAAAAACAGTATTACTTTTGCATCGTTAATTACGCTGACATTTGTATGAAAGAATGATTTCACCATGAAAAGCATATTTTTCTCTTCAAATTTTATTTTTCTATAAAATAAAAACACCCCTTTCCTTGTCCCTCGATGTATATTTTGTAAACACAATCAAATATCTTTTTCAACGTTCACTGTGAATATGCTTCCTGCAGTTATTTCCTTCCTTTTTCTCCACATTAAATCAGATTTCCTGTACAACTTTACATAGGAGACATGACAAAGGATTCAAATAATTACTACTCAATGAGAACTGTTTGCATGAGCGTTTCTATATGATTTTAAAAAAAGATTTTGACGTCCTCTTTTCTTAAAGCTGGTTCAGTAATTTTCTTATTGTCTTGTTCTCTGTCCAGTAAGTTACCTCTAGGTGTCCAGTAAGATTAACTTATTGGACTGCTATAGGTAGCATTAAAATGAAAACAAAAGGCAATGTAGATAAATAAACAGCACTGAAAGGGCTATGATAAATCAAACATATGAAAAATGTAAGGAATTAGCAGCGTAAATTGTAAATATTTAACCAAAAAAATCTTTTGAAATTGGCATGAATAATCCACGGTGAACTGAATGTTTCACATGAAATATTGTAGGAGAATCTGTGAAACAGATCTTAAATCTCAAAAATTCTTCATTACTATTCATTTCACAACGATTGATACACGGAACATTCACAGAATCTTGGGGACATAAAAGAAGAATCAGATGCATGCATTTCCTTACACACAACCTTGGGCATTTTTGCATAGTTGAACATCAATTTTTCCACCTTTATCTTTTTCAGTCACCAAACATCTTCGCTAGCCAAGGGTTTCTGATACGCTACTCTCCTCATAAGCCCTTGGCATACGGTGTTTAAAAAAGTTGGGATTTCTTTCTCAAGTTCTGGGAGTTGATCGACATCGTTCGACCAATCAGCAATGTTTTTTGTAAATGACGATATTTGCGTTCGGGATATATATTGACTCTTTAATATCGGGAATGAAAAACGCAAGTAAACAACGATCCGTAAGATAACATGCCATTCTATGAATAGCTATATGGTGTCATCCAATATCTTAAGCTAAATAGGTGATTAAGAATCAATACTGAAAATGTAGATTTGCATTTTAACATGTTTAAATAACAAATTAACATAACTCAATACCTTCTTGTTAATTATTCTTTAAAAACATTAATTTTTTTTTAAATACGCATTTTATTTCTGTCGATGACGCAATCTATGCGTACCTGGTAAGAATCGTGATCACGTGACGAAAACATGTCAGCACCGTATGCCAAGGGTTTATGAGGAGAGTAGCGCATCAGAAACCCTTGGCTAGCGAAGATGGCCACCAAATTTCAACTGATTCTGTGATGTACACCTGTACTTTCGTTAGATGATTTTTGACGAGTTACCCATCCAGTCCCGCAATGTTTGAGCGAGTGTCTGCTTTATAATTGAGTAAAATCCTTCAAAACCTGCTCACAATTTAGAAACTTTCTCTCTCTCTCTCTCTCTTTCTCTCTCTCTCTCTCTCTATATATATATATCTCTGAAATAATCTTCCATTTTCACCAAAAGAAAGCAAAAATCAAGTTTAAAGAATCATGGTTGGAGTAAAATCCTTCAAATCCTGTTGTTTTAGACAATCGAGAAACCATTTCTTGCCACGTCCGAAGAGCAAACATTCTAACCACTGCGCCACTTGGGCGACTATAATATTCAAATAAAATGTATAATTAAAATGAAATAAAAAGTAACATTACAAATACAAATTTATATGACTAAAAGAATATTTAATGAATAGTTTTCCATTTGTACAGCAGTTCTTTTACTTTCACTTTTGTTATCTATAGCCTCAATAAACCTGACAGTCTCTCCATCTGGACCTGTGGAGGTGAATCAGAGCGTGACATTACAATGTACCTTTGAGAACAAAACAAAAACTGCACTTTTTTACTCTACTGCAAGCAATGAACCTTTCTGTGATCTTACATCAGGATCATCAGGAGGAAATTGTATATCAGCTGGTACTTTATGTTCTTCATATTTCACTGCAACATGTCCGAATAACAGAACCTACAGTGTGGTTTATCCTGCTCTTCAGAGATGGAATGGAAAAGGAGTTTACTGCAGGGGATTAATTTCAGGAAATGAGAGAAGTAATCAAGTCAACTTCAGTGTTATAGGTATGTCGTATTTACAAAACATTGTAGTTTTCGTTATAAATTATTTTTTATCAAACTATTTGCAATTGTCAGTGAACGTCCATAAAGGACGAACATGTCATTTTACATCTGTTTGTCAAAGATAAATATCGAAAATGAGTTTAAATAGTTGCTGTTTATGTGATTTAACCATCATGCACATTTCAATCTCAATAAACAGCTGTTCTTCACCTGTTTCTAACATTCTCATTGACTTTCTGGTGCTAATTTGTATTCAACATGGGATAAAAGGAATTATAAATTTAAAGTAAAAGTTTACTGATTGACATTGTGTTTGTTTTTGGTTTAATTTTTTGTTTGTTTGTTATTATTTATGTCCATTACTTATCAAATCTTGGATCCGTACCAGCTCACACTCAACTGACGTCTATTTCTGATTAATTTTACGCCTAGAATTCTTAGAAATGAATTTAAGCAATAAATGTAGATTAAAAGGTAGAAATTGATATAAGTGCGATCTTATAATAGTATCTTTTACAAGATATATATATATATATATATATATATATATATATATATATATATATATATATATATATATATATATATATATATATATATATATATATATATATATATATATATATATAAGAAGTATTTTTCTTTATCTGCAATTAACGCATGTGATTAGTCATGCAGTTTTGGAGAACTAACATACATAGAAACTGATCTAGACAAAACAATGCTCTATGATTCCAAGACTCAGTCTCTAATTAATTTTCACGGTGGAAAATGTTATAAACAACTTAATTACATGTTTTAAAGTTTTACTAAGAGGGATGAATTTTGATCAAACCGTCCCTTTTATTGGCTAAACGTACAAAATTCTTATACCCCTTCTCTCATTTTTTCCACGTAACAAAGTCGACCCTCTCCATTTTTTATTTTGTTCCAACGCGTGTGTGAACTTGTTTGCAGTGTCAAAAAAATTGTGTGTTTTAAAAAAGTTTGTAAATGTAGATAAAACTCTTCCCCGCCACATCTACATCTATCAATGTAAATAAATAGATTTTTTCTAAATTCCATCACGCTTTTCAATATCAAGATGGAACTAATACACTTAACAAGCAGAAATAGAATTAATACATAAATTAAATAAAAAGATATCAGATGATAGATAACACGACGTACAGATTCTTCTTGGCATGGTTAATAAAATTATATCAAATATTGATCTTCAAAAATACGTTGGCTGGCTTATTTTACTACGTCCGACTTGGCACAACAACGACAACGCAGTGTCTCTTTCTTGTAGGACATCGTGTCACTCTTGTCACACTGTCATGGCGGTCGACGACAACGCCTCCGTCTGGCAAAGAGCGATAACTCTGAAAAACTTGTGAAATGGGTTCACGTTTACTCCACATGCTGTCCAATTAAAATTTTTATTTGAGGTGCAAAAATAACTTGTTATATATTGCTGATATCAAATTTAAAAAGTGTTGAGATATACATGTTAAAACCTTACGTTAATATTAATGTTAATATTGTGAGGCACGAGTAAAAATATCAAGAAACCAATTCCTGTTTTACTATTGAAATAAATTCCATATCCAACTACAGCATGTTGAATTTTCTGTTTATTACATTTTTTTCCATTGCCCCTATCCCCCTAACAGCTGGTTTTTGTCTTTAAAATATACAGTGGCATTGACTGTTACTTTAAAGCTTAGTATGAGATTAAAAATAGTTAATATTGAATTTTAACAAGAAAAAAGGGGGAAAAAAAGCCTTTGTTTTAACTAATACACTGTCAGGGTACATGATTTCCTCAATCACACAATTTACGTAGAATATTTTTAACATGAAAATAAGGAAATAATGCAGATAATGATGAAAAAAGTGTCCTATTATCAACTGCAAATTTTGATAAAAAGAACTGATAACTTGAAACAGAGAAAACGAGAGTATAGGAGAAATCAGAAGAGACAGGAAAAGTAATAAATAAGAAGATTGTGCGAGAAAAATCTTATAAGTACTTATTGAACCGCACACAGAAAACGCTTCATAAGTTGAGATTGAAAGGGCGCGTATAGAGTGGGTAGAAAGCAAACAGGTGATGAAAACCAAAAAGTATTTTTCTGAAATTAAATCAAGTAACTTGCGCGATACACAGGAAGGAATCCAAAAATATACTGCTTTGTTATAATACCAATGAGAACAATTTTATGATTCAAAAACATAACAGAAACCAGTGTCTTCAGCAGGGCTGATTCAGTGAAAACACTCGGTTAGAATTGAAAAAAGACAGGGAAGACTAAATGACTGGAAAGCAAAGATTCTGTGGTGATTTTGTTCACATGAAACGTTAATTGACTGGGAAGACTAACAGAAAACTCAGAAAGCTATGTAGCACCCAGCTCAGTATGCAATCTAATTAAAATTAGATCCGCTCACATACGATCCCGATCGTAGGTGAGCGGATCAAAGAATCTAATTTAATTAGATTGGCTCAGTTTGTATTGTTGAATTGACTTTTTGAGCACGATACCCCATATTTCATTATTAATATACTTTAGCATACAAACTGTTTGATGGATTATAACAAGCACTTATCCTCTAAAAGAAAAATTGGTCCACAATATATCGTCACATAATTGTTATAATAATGTGGGAGGATTTAGGTAGCGGAACAGACATTTCAATGCCAATTTCTATACTAATTGAAGAGAACAAATTTAGGAAAAAAAGTGGGGAAAGGAGGGGGCAGCAATCCTCTTATTCATGAATCATCTTATATCACTGAATATATACTTATCAAAATGCCTAACCTGCCAATCTAACGAACACATACGAGGATTGTTAGAAAAGTTCGCGGACACATTGATTTATGGAGAATATATTGTGAATTTTGAAGAATGACTTAAATTTGTTTACTAGTTTGTAAAAAAAAAAAAAATCAGGTCCATTTACTAAATTTTTAGCTCTACTGGTCAGAGACCAGAAGAGCTTATGCGATAGTAAGGTGTCCGTCGTCCGTCCGTCTGTCTGTCTGTCTGTAAACAATTTCTTATATTTACATTTAAGGTGTTTTTCTATTAAGTCAACTGTGAAATTGATTTGAAAACCATTTTTGTGTATACTCACGCGTAGAAATATACATGGAAAAGCTCGTGCTAAAGTGACGTCACAATGAGGCTACAGAGATGTTAATAAAAATATGACCATATAGGGCAGCGAGAAATTCAAACATTGAGTATATTTTTGGTGTATTTAAACATGTAAAATGTAAATATAAGGAATGTTTTTAAGTTTAGTGTGAATTATTTGTGTGTAAACCACACAGACTTGCACGTAGGCATATTTTTCATGAACAGCTAGCGCGCTTCATGAAATATGCCTACGTGACAAGTCTGTATGATTTACACACCAATAACTCACACAAAACTTTAAAAAATTCCTTAAAATATGCTACTCTTCCTACAGTTTTGGTCTGATTTCAATATAACTTGGCACACAAGTAGACTACACTAAGATACATAATTCTTTGTACCGGTTTTTGTTTTCGGTGAACGGTGTTGCCATGGTTACTAAAAATAGAAATTTCTGTAAAATACATTCAAAATGTTTCTCCTCCTACAGTTTTGGTCTGATTTCAATATGAATTGGCACACAAGTAGACTACACTAAGATACATTATTCTGTTTATCGGTTTTTGATTTCGGTGAACGGTGATGCCGTGGTTGCTAAAAATAGAAAATTCTGCAAAAATACTTTTTAAAGGCTACTCTTCCTACAGTTTTGGTCTGATTTCAATATGAATTGGCACAAACGTAGACTACTGTAAGATACATAATTCTGTGTATCGGTTTTTGATTTCGGTGAACGGTGTTGCCATGGTTACTAAAAATAGAAATTTCTGTGATATACATTCAAAATGCTACTCCTCCTACAGTTTTGGTCTCATTTCAATATAACTTGGCACACATGTAGATCACACTGAGAAACATAATTCTGTATATCAATTTTTTGATTTTGATGAATTGTTGCCATGGTTACAAAAAATTGAATTTCTTTGATATACTTTCAAAACATTACTTTGCCTACAGTTTGGTCTGATTTTAATATAACATGGCATGCAAGTAGACTACACTGAGATACATAATCGTCTTAATTGTTTTTTAGATTTTGATGAATAATGTTGCCATGGTAACTAAAATCGAAATTTCTCTAAAATTCTTTTAAATGGTTACTCCTTCTACAGTTTTAGTCTGATTGCAATTCATCTTGCCACAAAAAGAGAGTAAAATAAGGATTACAATTTATTTATTCTGTTGCAAAGTTTCAAGTCCAAGTGCTACTTTTCTCTTCCTTAATTGTTATAAGTACAAACCAGTAGAGCTACAGTCTCGATAGAGACTTCTGGTTGTAAATATACAATGCCTTTTACTATGCGGTCATAGGATTTGCGGAGCAATCACTTGACGTTTTATGACGTTAGGTGACGTGACAACCTGATTCCAGACCACAGTTCTAAACATCTTTCATTTCTATAGACTTTTCATGTCTTTTTTCTTACTTAAAAATTGAAAAATTATATCAAGACATGCTTTTTTTTAAAATGTCTTTTGTGTATTATCGTATATTAGTGAGATCTTAAAAACAATGTCTACGCATTTCAGCGATCAGGTAAGAGAAACAATGCAAATCCATGGGCCATGCGATAAACAGGATATTGGGATATCCCAGGAGTTGATAATCCTTCCATTCTTTCAAAGTTGCTACTTCTTGAACCCTTTGGTACTAGATACGTGTAGGCAAACCTTAGCAACATCTAAAACATTTTAGTCTGTATCGGGTATTTTCCTGTCTGCACATATGATTTTATTAGCTCGGTGCTCCAAGACGTTCAATGGCGTTACTATTCATGGCTCTGTTTTTACGCATTGATTATCTATAAGTAGCGATAAAGCAGTCATAACTCCTCCAATTTAATTCAAAATTTTGCCAAATGACGTTTCATGAATATTTTAGTGACAAATGAAATATCATAAATCTTTATGGGCTACAACAGTGCAATTTTTAATTTCAAAAATATGTCCCTGTAATGTAAAAATGCGAAAAAGTAACACGCTCCGTGAAGCATGTTTTATTTAAATAATTTAGTTGTATATTTTTAAAGATCATCGGAAAACACTAAATCATTGTATATTAATTGGAAAAAAGTATTATAGTTTTTTTTTTATCTGCAGAGTTTACTGATATCATGAAAATAGCGCGCTCACAATAGAACCTGTCCGCGAACTTTTCTAACAACCCTCGTACATGTACATGTACCAATGTAAGCAGTTGATTCCATAAAATTGCAATTGATACTCTAAAAGACCATTTGTACTCGTAATATTTATTTTGTGCTTTTGGAATGTATACAATGCCACTAACGCTACTTCTTGTTGCCATTGATCTGAATTAAGCTTATGGTCGGTGTTGCATGCTCTGTTCATAGATTTGTATTGTTTATAGATTTCATTTAAAGTAATCACTATTCGTTATCCTCACCTTTTTCATTGATGAGTTTTCGCAGAATCTTTATTACATAGTGGCATAGTGCAACTCCTTTTTTACGTTCTGATCAGACAGACATTTGGTCTTTCCCACAGTAAAACATTGAGTGTGCTATTAAAGGGGGAAGGGGGTACCATTTCGTGAGCTCGTGCAGTGCGTATAGTACCTCTAGTTTTAATTACATTTTATAGTTTCAGTAACATTGGTTACACTGAGCCCAAACCAGATTACCGTGGATGCTGGTAAACAGATAACTCTAACCTGTCAGACAGATTACTGTAACCCAGCAGCCAACATCACGTGGTACAAGGCATCAATCAATCTGGCCACGCCTACCACAGATACAACAGACATCGACAGCAATGGCCTTATTAGAACAACATCAGTACTACAGTATACAGGTGTGGCAGGGGAAAATGGTCAACAAGTGTACTGTATTGCCAGCAACAGACCTGGAAATCGTGTGGAGTCCAACAAGTACATACTGCAATTAAGATGTAAGACTTAATTGATGTTATTGCTGTTATATATATATATATATATATATATATATATATATATATATATATATATATATATATATATATATATATATATATATATATATATATATATATATATATATTAGGGATGGCAATCGAATACAGGTTTGCCAATCGGTTAACCGCAAGACGTTCCGACCGATTAATCGGTTAATCGTATCAAAAATTCTCAACATATATCATCATTATAAGCTCTACTCCAGTAAACAAGATTAGTATGATGTTACATGTAGTAATATTATGTTTATATTTGATCAAAACACTATATTTATTTTATTTCAGTTTTAATAGGAAAAAAATAAGAAACTCATGAAACATGCCTGAAGTATCAGCTGCGTTTGAAATATTTTAGAAGCGATGTCATGCAAGTTCATTCTGCATTGTAAACCATAATTAAAAACTAAGTCTGAAGTATATCTTAATTTACAATGTTTGTTTAATAATATAATTTGATAGGTAACTTCAAAGGATAGAAGAGGTAAGGTACACATTATAATCAGTTCAAAGTTCTCAATGATCATTTAATTAAAATCATTAAAGAAACTCACGACAGGCTGGGTAACGGAGTGGCGTTTAAACAGCAATTTTAAAACATCTCGAAAACCGACTAATTACCCCCATGATGTCAATCCGGAGAGCCTTAATTATCTCCGAATCAGCTTAAATAGAAGGGTGAAAATTCTAACATTTCAGATATTTTTATTTGTATTTTTGGAATTGAATATTCGGGAAACTGTGTTCAAATTTACACATATATTTAATTTTTTCCGACTAACCGATTACAGATTTTCTAACCGATTACCATCGTTCCGACCGAGTAACCGGTTAACCGATTACAAATTGCCATTCCTAATATATATATATATATATATATATATATATATATATATATATATATATATATATATATATATATATATATATATATATATATATATATATATATATATATATCATAAATTGTTCATTGATCACTAGTGGTGATGAGCATTAAAAACGATACACATTCGCAAAGCTGGTGTTTTAAATACCAAAATTACCAATTTGAAAGCTTTATACAGTTTCAACTGGGCTTAATTATGCGAAAGAGGAATACTTACAGCAATAACTTTTTTTTCACTTTATACGATTCAGTCTAATGAAAATAATGTAATATGTAAATGTGTCCATTGGTTATCATAATATAATAATTTCATTAATTCATATATATCTGTATTTATGACAAAGATTAAAGCGGGATCCTAATTCATACCTCTTTTACATTTTCTTCCGTTCTGCTAAAGGCATATTGCTTCACTGAAAGAAATGGCAAGAGGTTCAAAACTATTACATGTATAATAACGTAATTTCACGTAGTTTCCTAATTAAATGCTGTATTAACAAAAACATGAAATATACAGTAATTTGGATTGTGGTTGAAAAGATAGTCACCATTGTTTGAATGGAGAACAAGTTCTGGAAAGATGCATCAATCTTGCAAACATTGCAGTGGCCTTACAGTTTGGATAAAATGGTTCGAAATAATAATGTGTACTCATTTACACTAATTGAAACTAATGTTCTCAAGTAATTATTGCTTACCCAATTCCTTAATTGACAACTTTGTTGTTGTCAATTTAAATTCACATCTAATGTCAATTTTCTTATAATTAATGACATGCAGGGAAACAAAACAAGCATTTAATAATAAATATTTAAATATTCTTATCTAATTACATTCACAATCTAAAACAAATTTTTGGAGTGCGAGATAATTTTATTAAAAACATTTTATTGATATATTAAACGTTATGAATTAACTTTAGAAAGTAACAAGTAATTTCCTCCCTATTTCGCCTCCACTCAGTAACGCCATGCAGATCAGTTGCATCTCGGATCCTGTTATGTGTTGAGATCATCAGTGTCTTGAAATATTTTTCTTAAGGTACATGTTTCTCAGATTCTGCCGTTGAATTTCTCGATTCTATCGCAGGGAAATCGAAGTAAGCAATGGTCTTAAGGTTTGTGGGCTGCCATCTTGTATAATTGCTATAGAGGCGTGATATAAATCACCTTAAAAGTTCATAAAGATGACTGTTATCTGCCATAGGTTCATTCCCTCCCTAGCAAGAACATTGTTGTTTCTATGAAGAGATGTATCTCAATACCTAACAGGTTTAATACTAGAAAGTGTATGTACAGTGTATATACCTTTTTGTTATGAATATGTATTCTTGTTCATCTTTAACATTAAATGATAGATCCTCCTTCCTTTGACCCTGTCATCCTAGCCTATCCTCCAGGAATTCAGTACAACACTGGAACTACAGTCAACTTGACCTGTAAACTATCAGGAGGAAACCCTGTAGCCACGTTGTCATGGAGATGTAAAAACACAGTAATGATGGGAACCAATCAGAGTACCTCTACTACAGCTGTCTCTGTGTTGCCATTGTTGATGGATAGTTACTACAACAACCAGCATTGTACTTGTACAGCTAATCACAGTCTCCTTACTAGTCCTAAATCAAGGAATGTGTCACTGACTGTATTTTGTAAGTCAACAAATACCACATCGGTAACACATATCAACTAACTTTTGCATCACACGAGGAATATTGGTAAAGTGGTTATTGGACATTTCAATTCTATCAACACGAGAAGTTTGTTATTTAAAAAAAATTGTAATGCAAAGTGTTATGTCCTCTGTTCATTCCAGACCAGACTATAATTATAGTCATTGCACCTATCAAAAAAGTTTGATATTGTCTAGAACAATATCAATATTGACTGAACATTTCCAAGTTATCACAGATAGAAGTCGCTGATAAGAATTTTGTCCTTGTATTGTTTTTTTTTTAAATCAATTCCAGACTATGTTATAAGACAATAATGTACTTTTTAGTTGGTTAATATGGTTTATGAACAATCACAAAAAATATTTAACGAGGCCGAGTCTAATTATTTCTACCTTAGAGATTTTTTACAAATTTTCTTGAATAAAATTTTACTGTAATATTTATTGTTTTAAGATTAAAAAATCGAATGTTTGCCGTCCCGATTTCTTAGGCGGCCATCTCAAAAGTTGTCAAATTTTACTATTGGACCCTATGGGAATTTGTTGGAAAAGCACCAAATTATTACATTTTTTCCATATTTTTTTATTTCTGCCCTAGAGATTTCTTTTTTCAGCCATGTACATGAAAGTTATTGTAAAAAGTCACCAAATTGTGACATTTCAAAACGTTGACCATCTAGGTTGGTGTAGGATTTATTACAAAGTTTATTTTTTCAATGCCCAATACCTATTAAATTGCCATATTGCCATTCTTAATTCTAAATTGTAAATAAAATGATGTTTTATATATTATGGTAGATCCTCCATCTACTGACCCTGTCATCACAGCCTCTCCTCCAGGACTTCAGTACAACACTGGAAGTAGAGTCACCTTGACCTGTCAACTATCAGGGGGAAACCCTCTAGCAACGTTGTCATGGAGATGTAAAAACATAGCTATGACAGGAACCAATCAGAGTACCTCTACTACAGCTGTGTCTGTGTTCTCATTGGTGATGGATAGTTCCTACAACAATCAACAGTGTACTTGTACAGCTAATCACAGTCTCCTTACTAGTCCTAAATCAAGGAATGTGTCACTGACTGTATTTTGTAAGTACATGTATCATGCCCCAAAAGAATATTGAATATATGAGCCCTATGATCTTGACTTTTTCTAAAATACCTTTGTTCAGGAGCATAACACATCCTATCATCATTAATAACTCTGGACTCGAGTATATTTTCTTTGGTTACTCCATTGTAAAGAATTGCTATGAACAGGAATTCACTCTTCAACTGAACTGATTATGACCTTGTATAGATGTCCTTGATGCAGGGTTGTTACACAAATCTCATTAAAAAGCAATCTTTAGGTCTAAAATAATCTAATTTTCATCAGGGTTAAGATTGAACAGTGAATTTTACACGTCTGAAACATGGCCTTGTCTAAAATGATCTGGGCAACATTTGTCTTCACTGAAAGCTTCCACTGCTTCTCTAGTTTGAAGTTGTGGTCAAAATTAAGAGTAATTTAATAGTTCTCTCTGTGACTGATATCTTGTCAGAGATAAATTAACTTTGGTACAGGTAAAGTAAGTGCCAAGTATTGCCTTTAAAGTTTTTTGTCTATAATATAAAACTGAAGGAATATAAAGTCTTTTACACCATTATATATATGTAGACTCGGTGTGCCTTTGATAGAAGATGATATGGTGTTACATGAAGCTACAGCAGTATACAACAATTAATGAAAAAAAATTAATATTGAAATGTAGCGTTGGATACGTAAATTATAATCCCTTACGAAAAAAAATTACATCATTAATGATGCTCCATCAGAACAACTCATGATTTTTTACTTGAAGTTAAAAATGTCGTGCAATTTTAAAAAAAAAATGATGAACATATACGAACAACTCATGATAAAAGAGATTCATGCATTAGCAGAAATGACTTTGACATTCATTAATAAAATATCCATACTGACAATATTTATATGTGACGAATAAAAATAAGCAATTACGGAATAGTTAAGTTCATATTATTTTGATAGATACAGAGAACTATTTTCTTTTCCATATAAAGTTGAAAAATGCTGTCGTTCAGACTGCTGGTCTTTCGAAAACTGGATTTTGGCCTTCAGGTAATAATGAAAGGTTATAACGTGACCGAATTACACGGCGTGATGATACCTTGCCTACGAAAACTCTAACTTGATTGCAATAACGGAAACATATCAATATCTTTTCAATCAAAAGATGACCATTAATAAATATTCCTTTTGTATGACGAATGATTTGAATAAAAGCATTAATAAGATTCCGAAAAATCCTGCTTACTTTTTTAAACCCGAAATTCCTTAAAGGTTATAAACTAAAACAGACGTATCTCGCTAAAATCCCACCGATTCTACTTCACATATGAAGGAAACATAAAAGGAAAATAATCCTCAATGCCACTCACTGTAACTTATCTATATAAATTTCCAGAATGTGATTTGCGAACATCACTGTAAACATTCAAATGTTGGAGCTAGGCAAACTTTTATGACCTAATAATTTAATTCTGGTTATAACGCGGTATTTGATTGGAAAAAAAAATTACTTTATATCGTATAAATTGGGTTGCCTACGTCAGAATGACTTGCGTCAAAACGTATCGATCTGTCTGACGTTACATTTAAATTTTGTACAACTTGAAGTCATTTTTTAAGGGCAATCAACTTCTTTTCTTACAATGTACACTAAATGAATGAAAATTAAATTATAAGGAATGAAATTAATAGCTACCCAATTTATACGGTATAAAGTGGGTTGGAACAGTTTAAGTTTTTTTTTTTTTTGAAACCGCTCCGCGGTTTATGAAGCATAAACTGCTTAAAATAAAGAGTAATTCAATAGTTTTCTCTGGGACCATTACATTTCGGAGATAAGTTAATTTGGTACAGGTAAAGTAAGTGCCAAGTATTGCCTCTAAAGTTTTTTGTCTATAATTTAAAACTGAAGGAATATAAAGTCTTTACACCATTATAATAAAATTTGATAGGTGTAGACTTGGTTTGCCTTTGATAGAAGATGATATGGTGTTACATGAAGCTACAGCAGTATACAACAATTAATGAAAAAAAAATAATGATGAAATGTAGCGTTTGATAAGAAAATTATATTTCCTTAAGAAAAAATTACATCCTTAAGTTAATGATGCTCCATCAGAACATCTCATGATTTTTCACTTGAAGTTAAAAAGTGCAGTTTAAAAAGATGAGGAACACATAGGAACAACTCGAGATAAAAAAAAAAGATTCATGCATTAGCGGAAATGACTTTGACATTCATTAATAAACTGTCCAAGATGACAATATTTATTTTTAACGAATAAAAATAAGTAATTCTTGAACAGTTTAGTTCATATTATTTTGATGTACACAGAGAACTATTTTTTATTCAATGTAAAGTTGAAAAACTCCGACGTTTAGACTGCTGGTCTTTTGAAAACTGGATTTTTGCAGTCGGTTAAAAAAAAAAAAGGGGGGGGGGGTCATAATGTGACCAAATTACATAGCGCGATGATACCTTGACTATGAAACTTCTAACTTTCTTATAATAAGGGAGAAAATAATGGAAACATATCGATTTATTTTCAATCAAAAGATGCCATTTAATAAATATTCTTTTTGTGTGACAAATGATTTGAATAAAAGCATTAATAAGTCTTCGAAAAATCCTGCAAAATTCCTTTGAAGGTGTGTAAACTAAAACTTTCTCGCTAAAATCCCACTGATTCTACTTCACATACTGTATAAAGGAAAACTGAAAAGTAAAATAATCCCCAGTATCCCTCACTGTACGTTATTCCTATAATTTTCCATAGGTTGATTGCAAACATCACTGTAAACATTCAAATGTTGGAGCTAGGCAAACTTTCATGACCTAATAAATTCTAGGTCACTGCATACTTGTAATTATTAGTAATAAATAACAAGGTTAAAATGTTCAATGGTAAATGAACTTGGTTGGTAAGTGATCAAATCTACTGAGAAGCCCTTCGGTGTTCACTGGATTTCATCACGTGACCAACAATGTTCACCTACCATTAAACTTTTTAACTTAGTTTGTTTTTCTCCTCTTTACGAACTATATAATCAATACTATAGAAAAAAATTAATAATTGAAAAGAACATATGCAACTGAGACTCAAGTGAAAGCTGTGGTCGATGGCCTTTTGTTGTAAAAGCTCACTTCTTACTTTGTCATAAACATATTTGCAAAAGTCTTATATATTTGAGGAATGGATGCATGTTATAACGTTCAAATATTAATATCATGTTTATTTTAAACACATTACCCAAAGATATCCACATTGTTTGTGCTAATATGAATAAACAAAACCAAAAAGACACTTTCAAAATGACTGACGGGGGCGATAATGCTAAAAAAGAATTACGCGACCTTGGTATGCCGTGTGTTTCTTCTTTTTAATGAATATCTATACAAAATAATCTTAAATATTTAATGATAGATCCTCCGTCCTCTGACCCTGTCATCACAGCCTCCCCTCCAGGCCTTCTGTACAACACTGGAACTAAAGTCACCTTGACCTGTCAACTATCAGGAGGAAATCCTTTAGCCATGTTGTCATGGCGATGTAAAAACACAGCAATGACGGGAACCAGTCAGAGTAACTCTACTACAGCTGTCTCCGTGTTGTCATTGGTGATGGATAGTTCCTACAACAATCAACAGTGTACTTGTACAGCTAATCACAACCTCTTTACCAGCCCTAAATCAACGAGTGTATCACTGAATGTATTTTGTAAGTCAACTAGTGACATTTCTGTATATTTTTTGTAACATATACATGTACAGGTTTTATGAGGTTTGATCATGTGAATAGCCCATATCTATATCCCGATAGATATTTAAAAATGATACAATATTCATTTTATTATATTTTACAGAAGAGTGTTTCGAAAAATACATTTTGTGAACTATTACACAAAAAGGGTAAAAATTGCGCAAACAATGGATCAATCAAGACATTTATGATAGATTGTACGTTACTGGTCTGTCATTCTAAGAATGGAAGAGATAATTGCATTGGGACTTGAAAAGAATTTTGTATACCTTTACATTTATAGTTTTATATTCTCTTAACATCAACCCAGTTATGAATTAACACAAAACTGCAGAAGATATCGCATTTTGAATACATTTCAAACATTTCTATTTGAAGTGTGGCACAAATATCTTAAAACTATAATCCTATAAGTTTGTTCATTTTTTATACTACTTTAGCCAGTAAAAGACAAGTTATCTCAAATTTACCAACAGAAAAGCCGAAATAAAAAAAAAATTGCAGTTAATAAACTATTTGGTAAATAAACTAGTTACCCAATTACACAATTAGTCTTGAATAAATTGGTTTCCAGAAGAAGGAGACAAACTGCTCAAATTCCACGCTAAATGCTCTTTAGAAAGCGCGTATTGTTTCGGATTTAGAGAGAGAAAATTTCCTTTTTAAAGAAAACTTAATGAGATCAGATAAATAAAAAATTGAAATAAGATATTTTTTTCAGAAGAATTGAAACAATAAGTTTGAAAAAAAAGAAATTATTTTAAGCAAACTTATTTAGCTGCAACAAAAGTAAAACTTATATATTATAAACTAGTATCTTTTTTCTGAAAAAAATAAAAAAAATTAAAAAAATTGCCATTTATTAAAATTCATAAAATATAATATGTAACACTTTAAATTTGATAATTCAAATAATTTAAAACTTACTGTAACAAAGCTAATTTTAAATTCTTTTAATTGTAAATTAATGTAACACTGATATTTTGAAACCTCTATTATTGTAATTTACGATTGGTGAAGATATGTCCTCTGAAGGCTAGGGTGTGGCCAAAATATGGAGTTAGAATATATAAGGAGAATTTAGGGGGGATCATATAAATTTAAAACAGCAAGGTCAGGATGATTGCGGTGGCTAGTGGGCCCCTTGCTTTATTAAAAAAGACATAACTTTACTTCTTTTCAGACAACAATATCATAACATCAAATTGGAATCAAACATATTCCATCAAAGAACATGAAAATTTCCATTTGGATTGTGAAGTGGATGGAAATCCGTTATCTAACATTACTTGGATGCTTGTTAAAAGTAGCACTGTTTTAAAAAAGAACTACAGGGTGAAGAAAAGCTCACTGGAAATAACTTCAGCAGCGTGCTTGGACTATGGGACTTACAAAGTATTAGCAGACAATGGAAAAGGTCCTAGAGCTAGTAAAACGGCAAAATTGATAGTGAAATGTAAGTTTTTAACCCTGAGCTTAAGTTTTAAATTAATTTTGTACCAGGTAACACATTGCATGGAATGAAAATACTTTTTAAAGACATCTGATATAATTAGGCAAACAAAAATACAAGTGTTAAAATTGAAATTTGAAAAAAATATAAAATGGCAATGATGAATTGGTAAATTAAAAACGCAAATATTAGCAATTAGTAATTGAATAATAAGTAATTAAGTCATTACAAATTTAATTTTTAAGTATCTCTCGCTCCTTGTCCTTTAGAGAATGAGAAAAAGAGAAAACTTGTGGATTTTTTTTATCAGAATTCTGTTCCCCTATGAAGTTTTGGAAAACATTGCACACAATGCCTGTAACTGTATTTTTCCTTCTTCCTTACACTTTTTTTCTGTGATTGTTCCTAGAAACTACTCGTCCGAATGAAAGGACAATCAGACTTGATGGTTAAATGTGCGGAGTAAATCTGATTTTTGTTGCAGGTACACACATGAGCATGCAAGTGCGATAAATAGAGGATATTCAGTGTTTTGTAGTTGGATATGGAATTTATTTCACGAATGGGACAGGATTTTTTTGATATTTTCACGAGTGCGAATCCTGTCTCAAGAGTGAAATAAATTCCATATCCAACTACAAACATTGAATTTTCTGTTTATTACATTTTCTTTGATTTTCCTTTGCCTCTGTCCTTTTGTTACACAGTGTCATAAGCTGTGACGTCATAGTTGAGCGGTTGAGACGTCATAGATTAACGACGGTGAGATTGAAAACATTGTAAACGTGGATTTCAACGACGTATTTGGAGAAACTTTGGCAGTTTTGGTCTCTATCAGGATGGTTTATTTAATCTCTCATTCTTATAACAGGCCATGAAGTATTTTTTACAACATTTGAGAGTTGTGCATCGCTTCTGTTATTCTTTCACACTGTGACAGAATATCAATTTGGTATTCTTTCGCACCGTGACAAAGTATCACTTCTATTTAATTAATAAATTTCGCGGTTGAAATGTAATAAATCAATAATTATACCATTCCAATAGTTACATGTTTTTCAGAGAAAAGTTAAGAGTGTTATTTGCAGATACTTATATGACTTTATCTTTTAACTTCGTGAAAAATACTTTAAGATATTGCAGATTTCAGTAGAAATGCGTTGTATAATTTACGAAGCATTTTAAAGAACTGCGTAAGTTCTTTTGTTTAGGGAGTTATTTTGGTCTGTTCCAGTCCTGTAAATCTCATTTTGTCCATGTAAGCATGTACATCAATGTTGTGCTCGTTTTGTTTACCTGTATAAATGTCCGGTACATTTACACATTTCTTCTTCATGTGGAGCATTATTTTCACCAAATAATTGCCCAAGGTATCTACTGGAAATTTATCTTTATCAGTGTAAGTCTCAGTGATGTACTATATAAGATAAATGATGAATTTCGAATAAGGATTTCAAATGAATTGTGAACAAACAAAGATATGAAAGTGTGTGAAGGGAACCCATTTAACATACGTTTATTTTTATGCCAGCAATTATCTTCAATCAATGTCCATATGTAAAATAAATCTCAAAGATGCTAGCCTTCTCTCATAATTTTTCATATATACCTTTTTTCCTAATTGCCGAATGTCAAAAGTTTTGAATATTTATGAAGACAATATTTGCTTTATATGTTTCATGTCTTATTTTCTTTTTAAACAGGTAAACCTCGGTTATACATGACAGACTCTATAACACCAGTCAGAATTGGTGTTGGAAATAACGACCCTCTCCAAATATTTGTGAGAATTTTATTGTTTCCACCAGCTATTCAGACAACATGGTATTTCTCAGGAAAAACAAATGAAAACAAAATCATAAGGAATTCTATAGATGGATACAGAATAAAGCACAGAAATGGAGATGTTGAACAAAATATCACTCTCTACAAAGAAAGTGTAAATATCGAGGACTTTGGACACTATACCCTAAGAGTAGAAAATGAAATTGGTGTCTTTACCATGATCTTCTATGCGATTTCCACAAGTAAGTTTAAATTTTAAGAGTGTGTTCACTCTTCTGCAAGCAATGAACCTGAGTAGCTCTGATATCATGTGAAAAAAAGTAGGAATTTCTTAGGGAAAAAAACTGAATGGAAAAAGGACTCTCGTACATGCGTACGGGAATTTATATTGAAGAAATCTGTATAAAGATTTTTCTGGGAACTAAAAATCACTGGGTCATCAATAAATGGAAAATGAGCATTAATTTTACTACAATGTAGAAAATATATTTATTTAAATCATGCCCCTTACGTCACGATGGGGAGGGCCACAACACTCAGATTATCCTTGAACAACATCAGTATTTCTAAAGGAAGTGGTAGTGGTATCGATGACGCATTGCTTTTCTGTGGGAAAAAAATTCGCCATGCGAGGATTGCTCGAGAGTTCGCGGATAATATCAATCTTTGCACATTATTTTATTTAATTGCAGAGTTTCATTGCATATGGTTAAATAGAACCCTTGTTAATTTATTATAAAATTGTCATATTTGTTACGGAGTACACGTAAAAACATAACGTGGTGTGTTTCTCAAAATACTCTCCCTATACATTTCACACACAGTCTGGTGCCATACCCACTTACCCACTTATTCAAAAAATTTCACCGTTCACGGTAGCTCAGTCGGTAGAGCGCTCGCTTCGTGATCGGGAGGTCGTGAGTTTGAATCTCGGCCGCGACTACCCTAAGTCGATAAAAAATGGGTAGCAACTGTTCCTTCGCCATGCGCTCGGCACTTTGAGACCTTAAAAACCGAGGCCCCATGCCACGGCAGGCGTTGGCACGTTAAAGATCCCTCACTGCTCACTGGCCTTGAGTGCCGAGTAAAGGTCAAAATTTGAACCCCATCACCGGTATATGGTGACGTCTCTATATGAGTGAAAAATTCTCGAATGGGACGTAAAACAACATACAATCAATCAATCAATCAAAAACTTTCTATATCCCTTTGCATTTAGCTTCCTTGTTTTAGTACGACAATTTTCAACATACCGCAGAGTTGAAGTATATATCAACCAAAGGTTTTGGTAGAATTACATGTCCAATATGTTGCGAAAACGCTTCAAACCGAAATGTTATAAAAGCATGTTTAAAATCTTCTCTTATCTGAAAGTGATCAAACCATTTTGATATCTTCATTGCCTAGTTTTATCCAACAATTGTTCATATATTGATTAAGTTGTACTATGCCTAACGGCCACAAGCAAACAGATTGGTTTTTGGGTTCGACATAATGCATGTTGCTCTCAAAGAGTCAATAAATGTATTATCTCTGACAAGATAAATTTGCACCTTTAGTTAAAACGTTTTTACCTATCCTTTGAAAGTGGAAAAGTACCTTTCAATTCAAATTTTAGTTATCAAAAGATGTTTTTGATATCAGTAGACATCTCTTTTTTTTTACCAGAGAAAATGGATGTTTAAGTTAATTTTTGATATCAGAAAATCATTTTCAATACTAAAAATTGTAATTTTAGATCTCAGTCAACATGTCTCACAATGTTTTGAGACTTGGTCACTTGGTGCTTTTTTTATTTATTATTTATTATTTAGTTTGATTTTTTTTGTTTAACCCATTCCTCTCATCATGTGCAGACTGAATTGAGTACAAGACCGAGATATGGTATAAACCTTAATGGAACATGAATTGAAGTTAGTCGTATTTTTTGCTAATGAAAATGTGCTTTTTAAAAAAAATTATATTAATTAAGTTTTAATAACCAGGGCCACCCTTATTGCCAACAAACTTTACAGTCTTCTCTGAAAATTTGTTGTCCATAAAGATATCTTGGATTTCTAATTTTAACGGTGGAGATGATCAACACTTTCAAATTTCATATTCAACTAATGTTTCCAAACTTATTAAAATATCAATTTTCCTTTTTTAAAATCAAATGTATTGTTATTAATGTTGCTAAAAATGGCTTTAAAAACAATTTAAACTGCAATTGAATTATAAATAGCAATTTTAAGTTATTGATGTCTGTTATCAATATAATTAAACTTACTCTTTTCCATATCAGCCCTTGTCCAACATTAATTAGCCCTCGAGCCTCCAGCCTTCTGGCTGAGTGGTGTTTTTGGGCTAATACAAGTGACATATATGTATGAAAAGGGTATGTTTCTCTCTCTCTCTCTCTCTCTCTCTCTCTCTCTCTCTCTCTCTCCTGTTAAAGAGCACTGTCTGCTTCTTTTCCACATGTGTTATAATTTTAAAAGGTTTTGTCTCCAGTGGAAAAACCTTATTTATTTTGTTTTGTTTCTTTTTCCCATTACGAGGGGCATTTGAAATGTTTTGAGAATGGTTTGCTAAAATATCAACCATTTAAAAAGAGTCAATGACTTTAATATCATTGAAAAGATCAGGAAAATATACACAGCTTTTGACGTCATTTCGTAATTTTTATGACGAAATAAATCCGTAAATATACACGGAAAAGTAGCATGCCCCTCGTATTATTATCCTTACCCTTACCGATTTTGCACAAAGGAATTCTCAGAAAAGGCTCTTTCAATTTTCACATAACTTTCAGATTTAATCATTTTTATTCTGAACCTCATTAATTTGTTTCGTTCATGAGATTAAAGTCAATGAAGATTAATGACATAAATTTTCGTCGAATGGTATCATATCTGTTCCATCGAAAGTACTCATAGAAAGTATATTTCCGCATGCTGTATGAAATTGAAGAATTTGTTTTAAGGAAGACGTTCGATATCCTCAAATTAACAACTTGATATCCATAGCAATCCTCAAACATTTTGGGAAGTTAAATTTGATTTTATACTAAATTAGACTACGGAACATTTCGTCTACCTGATCAATACATACGGCTCACATCGGGTCAACAGGGGATGTTTACTCCTCTGGTATTTCAAGGAGTCCATGTTTTATGCCCTTCTCACAGAATTATATTGATTGTGGATATTTTTTTTTTGGTCACTGTTCGTTATTTTCAACTTTTCCATCATTTAAAAACATTTTATCACATATCAGTGGATATCGCTCTTATGATATCGTTTTCGTATCCCACTGCTTTGACGTTACAATGGGTTTTGCGTGAAAATGATGAAGTAAACTAATGTGGATTCAAATATTAAACAGTGTAAAAAAAATGATAGTGATAATTAAAACATGTGATAAAAAGAATCTCCCATGATTTTTGGTTGGATATGATTTTTATGCAACTCGTTGCATGTTTTTATCCCCTCGCCGCCAAGGCTGGGGTATAATAAAACACAACTCTCTGGATAAAAATCATATCCAGCCACAAATCATGGGAGATCCCATATATAACCCATGCCAGATACTCAGCATATTTAACACACTAATATGACCCTTCTATGATATATCGACTTCACAGAAAAGCATATCGACTAAGCACGAAGTGAGAAGTCGATATGCTTTACTGTCGATATACCTATGGATTGACCGAATCAAAAGGCTACATGAAACTAAATAGCTACAACTGTTTTAGTTTTCAACAAATCAATAGATATTTAGAGTATACATGTATCAGCAAAATGCGTTACTACATTATGGTATTATTACAACTGAAAGCAAAGATATACATGCAGTGTGCTGAATTCTGATTGACTAATTATAATACTTAGATGGCTGTAGTTCTCCTATTTTTTCATTTAAATATTACATGTATTTAATTTTTAAAACAAGAGACACTTTAATACGGAAGCCGGTAGGTGCCAGGTAGAAAAATATTTTATCTGGCGGCCGCAAAATAATTATCTGGCGGCCGCCAGATAAATAACTGGCGGTTGCCAGAAACTTATCTGGCGGCCGCCAGATAAGTTTCTGGCAGCCGCTAGTTATTTATGTGGCGGCTGCCAGAAAGTTATCTGGCGGCCGCCAGAAAAAAAATATTTTTTTTCTACCTGGCACCAACCGGCTTCCGTACTTTAAAGATATAAATGTTAGAAATAAATAAAAAGTGCATGCATGTTGGCTGAAATCTGATTGAGTAATGCTCATAAAAACGTACCATGGCTGTTTCCAGATAAAATTCTTTGGAATATAAGTGTAGATCTGTAATAGAAAAGAATTTATTAATTCAATAAAGCATGTAAGTATTTGCGCCCCACAAGGGAGTTTGCGAGCAGGTTGGAAACATCTATAACTGTTCCCGTTACAAATAGCACAGATTATTATTGTGTAAGTTCATGTTTGGCCAGTCTCAAGCTTATATGTGTTTATCTTGTGGCCGGCGTGGCGCAGTGGTTAGAGCGTTTGCTCTAGAGTCGCGGAAGGAGTTCATCCTTTCGTCACAGGTTCGAATCCGACTCCGGGACGTAGAGACCGGTCCTTAGGATGAGACCGTTTAAACCAAGGTCACGTATCGCAGTAGGTGCTGGTACGAAAAAATCCCCCACTGCTCAGAGGCCGTAAATGCCTAGTTCAGGTCTAAATTTGCAGCCCTTCAACGGGAAGTGGTGGCGTTTCAATGTGAGACGAAAAATTTTCGAATTAGGGACATTAAAGAAACAAACACATTTTGCTTTTGTAGGCGTTCAAGTTCCAGGATCAAATTCAGGAGGAATCGTCGGTGGCACGATTGGTGGAGTTGTTTTCCTTATTGTCCTTGCACTTATAACCATCGTGATATTTATAAACAGAAAATATCAGATTAAATTTGTTGGTAAGTAATATTGATTTATAGAAAGTTATTTTCTCAATTTAATCTCTCAATTTTCCTTGGAAATGATGATTTTGGATAATCGTTGTTTCAGAAAGAAATTCAAACTCAAGGTAAGAAACAGCAACATTAAAACTTAATCAGAGCTTTTTAGACTTCCCTGAGGACAGTTTGGTAAATTAGAAATACGAGGGGCGATCAGAAAATAATACAAGTAATGCTGTCTTTTAATCTTTTCTTCGACGCCCAACAACGCTTTTAAGCATGGGTAAATACATTCTAGACCTGTATCTCTCAAATTTCGCATCGTTTTATACACAATTACAATTATCGTTATTTTCAAAAGAAGTCGTACACACTGACCATTTTCTCCCGTACTATATAATCTACAGGCTGAAATTAGGACATATATTAAAATGATAGGCATCCTTGATTTACCGGAAAAATAATTTCAAATTATATCTGTAACATTTATAAAGATTCTGCTTTTTCATAAAGCACAGTTCGTTAAAAAATTCAAAATTGGTGTAGAGGTCGCTAAAGTTTGCTAAAGATCAGAGACAAAAGTTACTGATGGAAAAGTGGCAGCATTGATGAAAACTTTTAAGGAGAATGGCAAAAAACTTAAAAATATATTGTTAATGTAGTTCGGATCTAAGCAACATAGGTTCATAAATCTCAAGCTACATAGAATATACGCACGATGGATACCACATCTCTTGACACAAGACAAGGACTACATGGAAAAGTTCACATGAAAATTGACAGGAGAAAGTTTGCTGATCTGCTAACAGGTTGTGGAACTAGGATTTACTTTTTATGAATGTCAAAGAAAGCTTTACAACATGATGCGTCTTTAAAAGAATGTTGAATTCCTGTCATTGCAAAAAGCACAGGTGTTGGAGTGCTAAGAAGATTTTATATTCTATTTTCTTTAATTTTAGTGTCTCATTGATGCAATCTAACTCAAAAAGGTACAGGTATCTCGGGACAAATTAACTATTATAATGTACTTAAAAAAATCAAATTGGTTTAAAAAAGAAAACAAAAGTCAAGTTTGTTGCGCGGGCATCACAATGTCCCATCTTTTACATGAAAGACTAAGATTGTTGAAAGTATTTTGAAAGAAGAAAAGGTTGCTCAGCTTTCCCATCCCCCATTTTCTCCCAATTTAAGTCCTTGCGACTTTTTTTCTATGTCCAAGACCGAAATAATTATTATTTGGTCGCCGGTATACTTCACACAGTGCAGTTGGTAGTTCTATTTATCAGTGCCTATAGCTAGGCAATATAACAAAGACAGACTACCTTGGGGCTTGCAGATCATAGGTATGCAAATTACAGAAGTGTATGAATGTAAAAAAAGACTTACTTTGAATGATTAAACTTCTTCTTTTTGTTCTATTGATGTACTTGTAGAATTTTCTGATCGTCTTTTGTGAGTCAATTCCACATGCATAATGTTTGCCCAAGAAAAAAATTACTAAAGTTAACTATAGATTACTACAGTATACTATGTTGTAGTTTATTATAGTAAATACTTTGATTCTAGTACTTTGTTTGAATATAAAACTTCAATATAAAACATTTTATTTTAAAGATTTAGAGCCTAAATATTTATATATTTCTATATTAATGATGTTAATTTTGCAAATAATATTTCAATTTCCAAGTAATATTTCTCTTTAATGTCTAAACTTTGAAGGAAGAAAAATATAACAAATTGAAATTCATAGTAAAATTACTTTGATTTGCAATTGGTAAAATGTTTGAT